AGCAATGGTGTCAGCAATTTCCCTGGAGATAGGGAAGGCTTCTATCCAACCTGAAAAAGTATCAACCAAAGTAAGTAGGTAGTGAAGCTTTTTGTGTCTAGGCACATGAGTGAAGTTGATGTACCAGTCTTTGCCTGGCTAGTGGCTCCTCATCTGAGGTGTGGGGAGTTTAGGTTTGATGCTTCCTTGTGGGGATACTGTAGAGCAGAAAGAATAAGCAGAGTGGACCTGCTGGAGAGTGTTCTCATTCCTAGGAAGTGAAAGAGGGATTGTAAAATCTGGAAAAGGGGTTAGAGAGGGTTTTAGGTGGGGGCAGAGTCTCTGGAGCTAGAGGAGTTGGTCATGAGTCATAGGTCTCCGTCTTGGGCATCAGGGGCTGGTAGTCTTAAAGAAGTAGTTGATTGACTGGTTGGTGAATTTGTGTATCTGATCTTGCAGGAACTTCTGTAGGCAATTTATTAGACATGGTCCTATTAGGAGAAACATAAAGAGGACTAATAGGGGTCCTGCGAGGGGGAGGAGCCAAGGCCATACTTGACTGAACATTCCCCATGAAGACTGTTGGCTAGTTGCTGTCTCCTCTTTTCTAGCTGTTCTTGTCCTTCATTACTCCCAGGAATGACTGTGTTTTGGATTAACTGTTTTTGGTAGGTGTTTAAGATCAAGCTGGTCAAAATTGACTATAAACTCTTGGAAGGATCAACTCCTTCTACTGTTGTTTGACCTTGCAGAACTCCACAGACACAGGGGACTGGACCTTTGGAGGGATGCTCATCAACTACAGCAGGATTAACTGGGTCTGAATTGCACTCTAAAATGGACACAGGTGGACTGTCTCTCCCTGAACTCACTGATAAGGAGGACTAGCAGGAGACACAGCCACAGGGAAAGAGCGTGATTCATTCAGTAAGTGCTGATTGAGTGATTGAGTGCCTGCTGTGCCAGCCAGCGTGAGGACCAGCCCATACCTCTGCCTGCATTCATACTTGTGATCTCGCCCTTGTGTTTAATAGAGAAACCAGGCTTACTTGGTGGAGTCATATGGACCACATTCCCTATATAGATGGCCCAATGTGCATTAAGGGTACCAAGAAATTTCAATTTGTTCTCCAAGGTTTGGTTGTGTTCTGTCCTGTAACAGAAAAATAAGACCACAGATTGGGGGTGGCCTTTGTTCTAGAATCTGGCCTGCAAGAAACCCAAACCTAGGCCTACAGAATTCTCTGCTCATCACCTGTAGGAATCAGAGAGGAGAGGCCTCTCTTGACGCAGGTGAGAAGCCTCTCTAGCTCAGGACAGGCAGCATTCCAGCTGGACCCACCTTCTTTGCTAACTCCTCTCATGTAGCTCCTGAGACTGAGTTTCTGGCACTGAGCACATTGGATTAGCTGAAGAGATACAAGATCTGATACGAGGACTGTGACCTTGCTTCCTCCTCCAACCTGCACACTCCAGGTAGTCCCTGTGCCCGCCTAACCTGTCATCCCTTCAGCCAGCAGGCCCACCAAGTCCTCCTGCTCAATAGATGGGACTGTAATGTGGGTACTAAGGGTACCAATGCTGATCCTGTGGTGTCAGCAAAAACCAAGCCTGGGAAACATTCTTTGCTGAGAGCTGAGGATGTTATCGGTCTTGACAACTCAGCTCTGATGCTAACAGTTACCAGACTTCCAGTAGATTTGGGCATCCTGGTTATAGCAGAATAAACTAAGATCACCTGGTTGAAGGTCAGCCACCCAAAGATATCCAGTGGGATCCAGTGGGGAAGTAAGGGAATTATCTGAGCCCATCCCCAGTTTTTCTCTCCATAATGAGGATGGAGAAGACCTTGAGGAGGGTTCATCTGAAATCTACAGGACATCAGGGTGGAGAGGCTGAGAGAGGCCACATGTCCACAGGAGCAACATGGGTTGCGGGAGTAGCATGTCTGCAGTGACACTGTGGGTCCTGAACACGGAGTTTCCCACTTTCAGTTCCAGTTCCCTGTGTGTTCACCCCACAGCTCTGTCTCCCCAAGAGCCTGAAGAGGGATTGAGGTGGTCCTTGCTTCCTCCCCAAGCCCCACAGTGAGGATGTTGAGCTGACCCCAGTCCCTCCCACCCCTTGCTGTGTGGACTGCCCAGGATATGACATCGATAAGTGGGTGTCAGAAGAGAGAGACTTATTTGGGGCTTGGGTGGGGTAGCACTCTGGTGCCTCAAAGCAGGAGCCTCTTCACCAATTAGTAAGGGTTTGGGTTTCTCTTGGGCTAGAATGAATGCGCTTCTGATCTGGGGGTGAGAGGAAGGGAGTGTTTCTTTCCATCCTCTGGCCACGCAGTTTCCCTGGGTTTCCAGGGTGTGGGGAATGCGCCTCTGGTGGCCTGTCCCTGGTAGGCCTGTGGTTGGCGTTGAAGTGGGTGGAAATGTTCAAGTGTTCTGGTGATTCTGGGTCCTCATTGTGGGGTGTGTCTGTGTCCTCAGAGCCCCTCTCTCGCCCTTGAAACCCTACCCTGTGGCTCTGTTCCTCCGTCCTGCCTTCCCCACACCCACCCAACTTGCTTGTTTTACTTGCTCTCCTCTCTCCCTGAAACCTGGAGATTTTGGAATGTCCCCCGGACCAGAGATGCCACTGAATCCTCCTGAATGCACATTGAGCTCTGATTTCCCCCCTCCCCCACTGATTTCCATACCTGACTGTGTCCTGGATGTGTGCCTTGCACTTGTTGGATGATTAAATATTTTATGTGAATTTTGTCACGACCCGTGCAGCATCAACAAAGGATCTCGAACAGGAGAGACTGGGGATGGAGAAAAATGCAGAGACATTTTTAAGCAAACCTGGGGCCAGGTGGGACACAGCACTCTGAGGGAGGAACAGTGACCCAGAACTAGCTCTGCAAGTTTATTACGTAGGGTCTCATCATCAGGCAGTGAAACTCCAGGGCACTGTAAATTTCAAGGTTGTGAGTTATCAAGAGGCTTCTTTGTGGACTAAAAAGTTACAGAGCTAGAAACACTTGTGCAGTTATCCTACTGTTCCAGTGCTGGGAACATCCTGCTGCACCCAGGACGCCCAAATCTACTGGAAGTCTGATAACTGTTAGCATCAGAGCTGAGTAGTCAAGGCTGATAACATCTTCAGCTCTTGGCAAGGAATGTTTCTCAGGCTTGGCTTTTGCTGACACCCACAGGATCAGGCTATGGCTGGGGGCTCATCTTCTCTCCACAAACTTTGATCTATGTTTTCCCGTATTGTTATGCTTGCATAACAATACAGAGGAGTTACAGAAAAATGAAACTTAAAAGCTAAATAAAAGAAGTCTGGACATCTAGTCAGCACCACACAATATTTCTAGACAGAAGGATGGCTCAGGTGAGTCTTCAGAAAGGGTTTTAAAGCTTTCATTTAAAAAGCAACAATGACAGTCTGTTAGCAGGAATATGTCTTTTGTACTTGTTGGGTACAGCTCAGGTGTAGAGGGGACAGGGATGGGGCGGGGCAGGTGGGCTGCAGGTCTGGGGCTCTTGCACAGCAGGAAAGGAACCATGGTTTGGGTCCAAGAGCCCAGAGGCTTCCCTGCCTCAGCTGCTGTGTGGGGTTTGGTCTCCTGAGTGCTGGCTGCCTCCTGGCACCTCGCTGAAGGCTTTACTTTACCCAAACCAGCCTTCAAGAAACAGGTTGTAAAGGAGGAAACGGAGAATGAGATTCCAGTGAGGATCAGAGTGGGGAGTGTCCAAAGGTGGAGGAGGGTTTTGATTCCAAAGCCTTTAGTTTTGTGTTTAATTTAATTAATTCCACAAAAAAATGTGAATGTATTTGCCTTATTTAAGAAACCCAAAGCAGAAAATCCATCCAAGGGAGATCAAGAGAGGAAAGGGACCAAGGGGTGGGAGGAGGGGAGGGATGGGGAGGTGTTGGGGAGTGCTATTTGCCAAAATATATTGCTATATGGGGTGCATGTGTGTATATTCAACAAAACGCTCACCATTATGCACAAGTATAATGCACCAATAAAACGTGGAAAGAGAATTTAAAAAAGCAAAACAAAGACCAAAATTAAAGTCAAAGCCAAGAGCGTGAAGGATGGCAGCCCTTCTCCCAGGCTCCCTGCTCTGTCTCCTTTCCCTGAAGCAGCTTGGGGCCTGCCCCGCCATATATATTTCTATGCATTTGCACATGTATATAGCTACCTTGTAAATATTGATTTGTAGCTTTAGGTTTTATGGTAGCTTTTAATTGGGTTCCCTGAGAACAGTTCATCTAAGACATACTTGAATCTTTTCCTTTGCTTAATTGTGTTTACTAGAACCAGTTCGATGTGCTTCAATACATGTGTGGTTATTATTTTTTCAGTACTAGGGATTGAAAGCAGGACCTCGTGCAAGCTAGGCAAGTGCTCTACCATTAAGCTACACCCCCAGCCCATTTTAATCTTCATTATGAGGCCAGGTCTCCTAGTTGCCCAGGCTGACCTCAAACTTTTTATCCTCCTGCCATGGCTCCCATATCACTGGGACTACAGCCATGCCTGACCACTGCCAGCAGGTATTACCTTTCTGATGCTCTGATCAGCCCACCTTGGGTCAAGCTGACTCCTGATCCTTGCTGCCAAGGACTTGAACTCCCAGGAGATCTCCCACCACCTCCAGGCAGCTGCACCCTCACCTTTCTCTGCAGCAGCTCAGCTCCCTGGCAGGGTGCATTGGGCCCAGAGGCTGGGCTCAGCTGAGTTTGGGGAGGGATGGTTGCCTCAGAGTGTCCCAGAAATGCAACTCAATCATGCGAACTTCAGAAGAGAACCCCCCCCCCCCTGATTCCCAAACACATCCTGTCTTTCTTTTTCTTGATTTTGGCCTGGAGCCCAGACTCCAGCTGCCCCAGCTTGTGTGAAACCTTCTGGGAAACCCTGAGATCTTGGTTTCTTCTGGCTCTTCTGCTCTCTAGGCAAGTCACCTAACTATCCTGAGACCTAGTCTTCTCATCTGTCGAGGAGGGTGATGGTAGTTCTTGCTCGAAGGATGATGGACAGTGGGGTCAACTGTTCTGCAGTGTTTGGCAGGTTGGGGTCTACACGTGGGTGCTCTGTACCTCATAAGCATCACTGAAGCCCAGGCTCATGGCTGGTGACCTTTAACGATGCGTTTTGGACCTTCTTGGGAATCATATCGACATTTGCTGATTCAGACATTCTCTGTGCATAAAATGTGCTCTCTGCAGCTGGCGCACATCACCGCCCCACACGCTGTGCTGCAGACCTACTGCCATGGTCCCTCAGAGACACCCTTCCCATCTCCTCCTTGGTCCTGAGTGCATTCCCAGGATAGTAAGCACATGGTAAATGGAGAGGAGAGGCTTCCCACTCGTGTGAAGAGAGGTCTCTCCTTTCTGATTCCTCAGGTGATGAGCACAGGGATTCTGTAGGACTGGGTTGGGGCTCCTTGCAGGTCAGGTTTTAGAACATTCCATACAAAGGCCTCCTCTATCTGTGTATGATTCTTTTGTTGCAGGACAGAAGAAAACCAAAACGTGGAGACCCAATTGAAATTTTTCGCGGTGGCTTTGAGCACTGGGCCATCTATGTGGGAAAAGGTTATGTGGTGCATCTCGCTTCACCAAGTAAGTATGGTTTCTCTATTAAACACAAGGGTTGAGGTAAAGAGTAAGAACACAGACACAGTTATGTGCTGGTCCTCCTGCTGGCTGGCAGAGCAGGTGCTCAATCAGCATTACTAAATGAGTCATGCTGGGACTGTGTCTCCTGTGGCTGTGTCTCCTGCTAGTCCTCCTTACCAGTGAGTTCAGGAGAGACAGTCCACCTGTGTCCATTTTAGAGTGTAGTTCAGTCCCTGTTGAATCTACTATAGTTGATGATATTCCTTCCAAATATTCAATACCCTGTGTCTGTGGAGTTCTGCAAGGTCAAACAACAGTAGAAGGAGTTGATCTTTCCACGAGTTTATACCTGGCTGCAGAGTGCAATGGACAGGTGTGGGCCTCCAACCTCCCCAGGACCAGCCTGGAATTCTGCTCCTCTGCCTCCTGACTGTGTGACCTGAGTGTGTGGCTTCACCTCACTCAGTTCAGCTTTACCTCAGAAGAGCAGGGATAGGGATTCCTGTCTCCCAGGCCGTGAGGGAGAGAAATGAAGGAGGGCAGGGAGAGCCTGTGCAGGGCCTGGCCAGGTGTGGGCCTCCTCCCTCTCTGGCCCAGCATCATGGCTTTAAGGGACATGTGGACATGCTGGAAACTCCACTGACCTGCACACAGAGGAACACTGTCCAGTCCTTCAAGTCACTAGGAGAGTGGTGTGGACATGCACCTGTGTGCACATAAGGAAGTCAGTCGAGTGAGAGACATTGATACCTTCTGTGGCACCTATGGCAGCTCACAAACTCAGAGACTTTGAACAGAAAATGACAAAGAGCTCAGCTCACAGCAGTGCTCACACTCAGCTGTTAAAGCGTCATTGAGGGAGTGCATTTGTCCCTGAGACTGGCCACTAGGAACCTGCCCCCCTTAGGCTGTGCTGCTGCTGGTGCTCCCTGGTTGGTGTCCAACCCCTGGGACAGCAGCAAGGTCCTGCTCACAGCAGGAGAGGGAGGCCTGTCTGGGTTAGAGCTGGCTCTGGGGAAATCAGGACAGTGTCCAGTTAGGGCTGCATGAGGTGGGCCCTTTGTTCTTGTTGGTTTGTTTTGTTTGGATGAAGCCCTGGGGATTGAACCCAGGGTGCTCTAACCATGAGCTATACCCCAGCCCTTTTAAAATTTTCCTTAAAGTCAGAGTCTCACTGCATTGCTTGGGCTGGCCTCAGACTGGCCTCCTCCTGCCTCAGCTTCCCGAGTGTCAGAGGATACAGGCAGGTGCCCCACACCATGGCTGGCTAAGGGGTTTTGGTCTACATTCAGTCTGCTGCCTCCTTTCCGTTTCTGTTTAACAATCCCCAAGATTACTCTTGGATACTGGATGTTTGTTTTTCAGGAGACCTTTGTAGATGGTAAACCAGGACTCAGCAGATCCTTCATAGGTTTCATGTGAATACAGATTTCATGTCTTAGTGCTCATACAGATCATCTGCTCACAGAGGTCATCTGAAAAGTGCATGGCTTCTGACAAACTTCACCTCCCTTGAGAAGAACCACTTGTACAGAATGCTGTTAGTGCAACTAGGTGGAGAAGAATACCGAGGGCTTGGAGAACATTCCAAAGCCAGGTCTCCGGGAGCCCAGAGTTAATCAATTGATTTGGGAGGTGTGTCCAATGAGCAGGTCTCCTTGGTCCCACGAATTACCTGGATCCATTTTTTAGATCCTTAAGAGTCTGGGTTCTCACCCCACGTTCATTGTCTTAGAAGCAGCCTTTTCCACAGTAAGAGCTTCAGTTCCTTCCTGTGGAGCAGTTAGGCTATTGAAAACCCTTTTGTTATGGAGTTTTGAAGCTCAACTGCTTATGTCAGGCTGTCTTCCCTGAAGAAAATTTAATGTGTTGTTAGAACTTTATTTTAGGCCTTGGATTTTTTTTTTTTTGGTCATGGATTTTTCTAATTCAAAGTTTTCCACTTAAATAAAGGGTGTGCTGACAAAAAATAATATCTACTTTTTCTCGTGATTGGCTTTGGAATTTCTTGAAAAAATTCACTTATGGAGGAATATTTTATACATTTCAAAAGTCGTATGTTTTTATTGGGGGTGAGAGACATCCCAGGTTGCAGCATCCAGCTCCCTTAGATTGGAAACCTTTGTATATCTTATTACCACAAATAATGAATAATCCAATGTGAAAGAGACAGGGAGAGTGTGTGTTCCCAGGTAGTGTGTTAGGAATATCGTGATTATTCTGGTCATCTTGGCATTGGCACAATGTCAGGTGATCAACAGTGCTTTAAACAGGGGAAAGCATAATACATTTTTATAAATTTGGTAAAAATTTTCACAAATTCTCTCCCCAAATAAATATGATTGGCTCCTTCTCTGTGAATATTGGTCTGTACCGTGTGCACACCAGCCCTCTGCCTCATATAATGCTACTACAGAAACACTCCATGTACTCACAGAGATTCTATTGATTTCAACTATGGTTTCAGCGAGTTTCTTAGTAGCATATTTGAAGGTTTCATTTTCATTTTCTAATTTTAGTTCTGATTCCTTCAACACTGGACTCCAGGACCTCCCATGTGAATCATATGAAAGGAATTAATGATAGAGTAAATGTCCATGCCCAAGTCAGGTCCCATGACACTAAGATTTCCTAGGTAGAGGGGAGGCAGTGAAAGTATTGCAGCCGTCCTGAGCCACCCCTGGGTGGAGGGCTGCTTACAGCACTGCTCCAGCTGGGAATGAGCGCTGGGGGAGGACGCTGTCCAGAGGAGGAGGACAAAACTTTGTGAAAACCACTTACTCTCCCAATTTGGCACTGAGGCTCTCTGGCTTGGGGCCAGCTCTGAGCCACTGTGGCCCTGCCCAGGCCTGAGTCCACTGTTTCCACAGGTGAAGTGGCAGGAAGTGGCGTGAACAGCTTCACCGTCCTCGGTGACACAGCCATAGTGACGAAGGAGCTGCTGTCCGTGGTGGCTGGAGGAGATGCGTACCGGATCAATAACAAGAACGATGAGGAGTATGACCCACTGCCGCCTCAGAAAATTGTCCAGCAGGCAGAGAAAATGGTCGGGAAGGAAGTCTCCTATTCAGTGACCAGCAACAACTGTGAGCACTTTGTGAATGCGCTGCGCTACAGAGTTTCCCGCAGTGACCAGGTGTGTCCTCAGCCTGTGTCCCCTTCCCTGACACTAGACCATTCCCCAGCTCACAGGGGCTGGACACCTGCTGAGGGCTGGCAGTGCAACCTGAGTTGGACATTGCCCATGATCAGGGGTCAGGGAAGCTGGCAGAGTGAGCAGTGGGGTCCAGGAGAAGGGGACCCTGGTCATGTTGGGTCCATTTTTCCTGCACAAGGTCAACAGGAACACTTCAGCTTTTGTGGGCCAGCTGGTCCCTCTCCTTACTCTGCCAGGGTTGCTCTGTAGCCTGGGAGCAGCCATTGACTCTGTAAACCAGAGGCGAGGCTGTGTTCCAAAAAACTTTATTTCTTTTCATTTATCTACTTTTGTAGAAATAGGTGACAGGCGAGATTTGACCAACGGGACATTGGGTACCAAGTCTTGGTTTAAAAGAACTTGAAGTACTGGGGCTGTAGTTCAGTGGCAGGGCACTTGCCTAGAGTGCATGAGACCCTGAGTTCAATTCCCAGCACCAAATACACACACACACACACACACACACAAACCCCTAAAACCCAAAACAAACACCCCCCCCCCAAAAACCCTAAGAAATATTACATTATACTTTTTTAAGTTAAACATTTAAAAAATCATAAAGGTAAAATATTAACAAATGATGTAATTTTGTGCATTTTGTACCCATGATTTCATTACAATTTTTCTTGGCAACCTTGGAATTACACAATCAGCTTATTTAATGAGTGAAAAATGTCTTCTGCATAATTTAAATAGCCAAGCCCAGTTTTATTGTAAAACTGTCAGTCAAATCAGACAATTTTTTCTAGTCAAAAACTGACAATTCTTCAGTTCATGTTGATATTAATGCCCATCATCATGACACCACCTCACATTGTTTCTGGAGGCCTCTATATTGTGTTGGATTGGTTTTTGTGTGTATGTGTTTTGGTTTGTGTGTGGGGGTTGGTACCAGACTTCGACCAGGGGTACTTAACCAGTGAGCCATTTTTATATTTTATCCAAAAGACAGGGTATCTCTAATTTAATTTAGGACTGCAGTAAGTTGTTGAAGCTAAACTTGAATTTGTGATCCTCCTGCCTCAGTCTCCCTAGCTGCTGGGATTACAGGCAGGTGTCACCATGCCTCACTGGAGACCTCTCTGTTGGAGAGGTCTTGAATCCTCCCTTCTTGGTGTCCAGGGATGTTTGCATCTTGGCCTGTGCCCCACAGGTTCAAGACAGGGGAGGGACTGGCTCTTTTTTGGTAAGGTAGGAGAAGGGCTGTGGTGAAGAGGGGAGATGGGCGGGGAAAATCCATGCTTCCAGAAGCCAGGGCCCCAGGCTGGAGCCAAGCTGGTAACTGAGAACTGCCAGTCAGCTCTGGGCACTGGGGTGCAGTGAGACCTGCTTTGTTGCTGTGATCTTGCTGAGTGGGTTTCTCTCCTGTCAGCTGGGAGGGTAGACATGTGTCTGGACCCAGGGGAGGTGTGCTGGGGGTGGGGTGGGAGGGTACCTTTTCCTGCATCTGAAACCACTTCAAAGTTGTACAAAAGCCCCAAGGATCAGTCCCCACCCCCTGGGTATTTTAGGGGTGGTTGGCTCTCTGCTTTGCTTCTGAGAGTTCAATTCAAGCAAGGCTGGGGCACTCAGTGGTGGCTGTACCATTTAATTTCTCCCTGGCCTGGGGTCCCTCTTTGGGAACCTCTTCTGCAGGTATCTCAATGACTCGCCTGTCTTCTCCCTCTCACTCCTTCCTTATCTTCTGCCCTATCTCCATAGGAAGCTCCTCCTCTGCTCGTCTCCAACTCACTTTCTCCTTCTCTTTCTGTACACAGTGTGCTGTGAGCCCTGCAGAACTCTGGGCCCTTAGTGACTCTGTCCACAATATGCACTGATAGACCACTAACCTCTAGCAGGGCCCCTGGAACATGAAGCTCTGTCTCAAGGAACAATCCCCTTCAAATGCCTGCATGAGAATGTTCTGTCTCTCAGGAAAATGTACTATCTTTTTCTAACTAAAAGCAGATGATAGTTGCAAGGCCTCCCTGTCTCAGTGCATTTACCAAAACAGACTTTAAATAGGAATCCTTCCTCTGACTCTGTGAGATGCAGATTGAGAGAGAGGAAGATCACATAGACACTGAGGCCTTACAACTCAGAAGTGTCTTTCTGCCAGTCTGAGAGGGATTCCTTTGGAATTATTCATCAGAAAAACCAGGGCCTCCTGCTGCATCCATTGGACGGTACAATCTGAACCTCACTGGTGCCAGGGAGATCACTCAGCGGCCTCATTGCCTTTACTGGGTCACCCTTTATCACTTTTTACCTCCCTGACTCTAGGGACCCCTGCTCGTCCCCCTTGCCCCATTCCCCATCTCCCTTTGAAACACCCCTCACCTCCCTGCTCATAGTGTTTCCTCTGGGATGTGGTGAAGAGGACAGGGATCATGGGTCTTTCCTGAGCTGCAGGTTCCTTGTCCCCATATCTCTGCTCAGACTCCTGAGGTCGAGTGTGACACCCCACCCTCTTCTCTTCTGTTGCAGGTGCTTAGTGGAATCATCACAGCTCTTTATTCGGCTTGTTTTTGGTGCTCCAAGATTCCTCTTTAGGATGGGGGCCGGAATACTGCGGAACAACCAGTAAATCCAAGGCCTTAGGTTGGCGGCACCAGTTAACTCTGGGGGATTTGAGCAAGCTGGTTTACAGATTTCACTCTCTTTTGTAATCATGAACACTTGGGTTAGTGGAGCCGAATCAAAGCACAGGAAGCTGTTTTCTGAGTGAAATGCTGCATAGCAGGAATACTATTAAAGAGCTTGTTGCACAATGCCATGGTCTCAATGTTTGTGTTCTCTCCTACCCCAAATTCATATGTTGATGCCCTAACCCTCAATGTGATGGAGTTCGGAGGTGGTGTCATTGGGGGTCACTAGGTTTAGAGGAGGTGCTGAGGGTAGGACCCCTGGGGTGGGGTTAGTGTCCTTCTAAGAAGAAGAAGGGAGACCAGAGCTCTCTTTCCCTCCCTCTGCCATGTGCAGCACTAGTGAGAAGGGGCCCACTGCCTTTCTGGGAGAAGATCTCTAGACACCATGTGTGCAGCACCTTGATCTTGGATTTCCCAGGTGCTGTGGCTTCGATTTAGTCTGTCCCTTCCAAGCCCATGTTCTAATACAGTTTCCCTAAGGTCATATGAAGAGGCAGTGTGAGAGGTCACCGGGAAAGGTAGCTGGTGGCTGTGCTCATGTTGGCTGAGCTCCCTCCACAGTACAGCCCAGTTGCTGGCCCAAGTGACCATCAGGTCCTCTATTGTCTCAGCATCTCTGTGCTGGCATGGGAGGCCAGTTCATCCCCCACCATCTCCCCAGAATCTGGGGGAGTGGCTGGGAGAGGGTGGGTTTTCACTGTGACATATTCATGTACCTACAAATCATAATTCCTCGGTATTCTCCCTCCTCCTGTTTCCCTTACTCTATTCTTCAGGGCTTCCATATATATATATATATATTTCCGTTGGTGCTGAGAGTTTTTTTAAAATTATGAGTGAATATTGAATTTTGTCAAAGGCTTTTTCTGCAGCAGTTGACATGACCATGTGACTTTTGTTCCTTATGCTGTTAATATGGCATATTGCATGTTTGATTTTCAAAGAGTCACCCTTGCATCACTGTGATGAAGTCCACAGGGTCATCGCGTAGTGTTCATTTTGAAAAGAGCTGAATTTGATCTGCTGATGTTGAGGACTTTTACATCTGTGTTCATGAGAGACGTTGATCTCTAGTTTTATTTTATAATACTCAGTTGTCCGATTGGGATCTTACTGTAAATGGATGAGATGAAGTGTTCCCTTTTCTGTTTCCTGAGAAAGTTTCATGGAATGGGACTGTTCCCTCCTCTAATTGCCAGGCCAGGCATTTAAACTGTATCTTTCTTTACAAGAGATTATAAACTAAAAATAGAATCCATTCAACACTTGCAGAACTATTAAGAGAATCTATTTCATCTAGATGCGTTTTGGTCAGTTATGATTTTTAAGAAATCGGTCCATTGAATCCAAGTTGTTAAATTTTATTATGATATTATTTTATTCTCATTTAATGTCTCCAGATCTTTTTTGAAAGCCCCTCCTTCACTCTTAATATTGGAATTTGTGTTGTTTTCCTTTTTACCTCTGTCAGTCTGTCTGGAGTTTTATTGTTTCTTTTTAGAAGAGCCAACTTTTGGCTTTACTGATTTTCTCTATTGCTCATCTTATGGATTGCTGCTCTTATCTTCATTATTCTCTTCCTTTTGCATATTTTGGACTTATTTACTCTTTTCTAATTTCTTCAAGTGGGAACTCAGTATGCTGAATTTCAATTTTCTTCTCTCCTAATATATACATTGAGTTCTATAAAGTTCCTTCTCAGTACTGTACTAGCGATGCCTCACAAATATTGATATTCTGTATTGTGACTTCTGGTCACTTCAAATATGTTTTAATGCCCATGGAGACTTCCTATTTGATGGATGGGTTATTTAGAAGCATAGTGTTCAACTGCAAGTATTGGGGATTATTCTCATATTCTTCTGTTATTGAGTTCTAGTTTAATCTTATTTTTGTGAGAAAATATATGTTGGGTGATCTTAATTTTTTTTTTAATTGTAAGGACACTTGGATTCAGACACCAACTCCTGGGGGCAGAGAATTCTAGGCATAACAAGATGACCTCAATGTCTCACAAGATTCGCTACATCCTTTGGACTGCCTGTTTTGCTAAAAATGTCTCAAAAATAACATTCTGATGACAAAACCATAATAAAACATGCTCAGCTAGCTCTGGTGTCAGTCAAGCCTCGCAGAACTCAGCCTTTCCTTCTGGGCCCCAGCCTTTTCTCTGTTCTTCACCCCCTTATGGCCCTTTCTGTTTCTGAATTCACAGCTTTGCTGGTGGTGGAAGTTGGCACCCAAACAGGGACCAGACACATGGGATCTTCTTTATTGGTCAGATGTGAGGGCACTCCTGAATTAATAGCCACTGCAGTGAAAGAGAGATGAGGAGGGTGTTCTTAGTCAGGTTGAAAAATGGGAAATGCTGGATCTAAAGAAAGGGATCTCTATGTTGCTATGCTTCTGCTTAAGTCTATGCTTAAACCAAGGAAGGCACAGTTACCACAGTTATTAAAATTCATTGTTGAAACTTGCCCCTCATTCTCTAAAGATGGAGTGGTAACTGTAGAAACATGGGCAATTGGTGCCCTGCTTAAAATAATGCTAAAGGATTGAGAAATAAAAAAAAGAAGAAAGGGGCTCCCCAGAAAAAAACATAAACCATAGCACCATGCCTTAAACAATAATTTTACAAAAAAAGTTAGTTAAAATGCTCTATGCATGAGGTATTGCTTCTCGAACTAAAATAAAAGTGGCTTTCCTTATTCCTTAGTTTCTATTATATCTCTGTCTCTGCTACTCTTAAATTTAAAATGTAAATTGTGAAGGCCTACAGAGCCTACAAGATTGGTAAGACTAACAGATAACCAGTTAAGACAAAAGGAAAAAAGTGCTAGGTTTAAGTTCAAGCTGTTTGTGGCTTGGCTGGCTATCTTTTCAGCTTTACCACCCTCTTTTCATAACAAGTTGCTCCCTAATGTTACAGCATTGGGAGGAAAAATGGAAAGATTCCAAATGTACAAACTTTCTTTTTATTAAAAACCTTTTTCTAAGGATTTCACAGGCTCCCACATTCTTTTACTCTGTGAACTGACTCTAATCTGAACTAAATATGACCTGATAAAGATGTTCTTTATGCTCTTTTCCTAGGAATGCAGCTGTGTATTTTTTTAGAACTCATTTTTTTAATGCTATGTTTTTAAGCTGATGATTTTATGGTAAATTCACATTTGATCTTGTATGCCTAAATTATTGTATTTTCTGATTAGTCTTATTTTATTGAACTATAAAGTTTTTTTTAATATTCTGTCTTTGTTCAGAGGCCATTTTTTCAAGGGTCAACTCTCACACTAAAAAAAACCCTTTTACTAAATCCGAAAAAGGACATAGACACAGTGGTGTTAGGGGTAGATCTGATAGCCATCAAGGACAAATGGCCAGCTGTCTGAATCTTTGTTTTCAGTGTCTGTCATGGCTGTTAGGTTTTTACACGTGTCATTTCCAACTGTACAAGCCTATCCTATATTTAAGTCATAATATAAAAGTCTGATAGACTCTAATTTCTATTTAGAATAAAATAATTCTAATAGAGGCTTTAATAAACATCAGTAACATTGCCTCCTACCTGTCAAACTCCACTTACAAAAAAGTTACAAAATCTTTGTTTCTGGTCCGTTTTGTGTATGTGTGCCCACCTGAATATTGTGTTGTTTCTACATATGTGTTTGTGTTCATGTATTATGTACATAGTATTAAAGTTGACATACAGATAAATGTGCACTCATACATTAAAATTTAAACAAGAAATGGATCCAAATATATTTTAGTTCACATAATTTAAAAAAGAAGTTGAATTTAAATGAAATAAACAGATAAAAATAAAAATGTCTTTAAAATTACTAACTCACAAGTTTTTCTAGGTAAACTAGTCTTAAAGAAATTATTGTTTGTCTAACTCTGGTTAAATAAGCACTGTTATTTTAGAGTTTTACCCTACATTCCAGAGTCAAAATTTTTCCTTAAAAACTAAACTTGGGGAGCTGGGGTTGTGGTTAAGCAGTAGAGCACTTGCCAAGCACATTCAAGGTGCTGGGTTCGATTCTCAATGCCACATAAAAATACATAAATAAAACAAAAAGTTATTGTGTTACTGGCCTCTTTGTATTCTAAGAGTATTCATACCTTCCAAGTATACAAGTCTGTAAAGTATAAGATCTAAAAGAACATTTACCAAGCTGGTATTCTTCAAACTAAAGTTTAAGATAAAAATTTGGTATTTTAAAAATTATATTTCTTGGTTCATAGCTATTATTCAAACTCAATATGTTTTTACTCTTTGTTCATTTCATTTTGTGTTTTCCTTGTAAACCTTATAACTCTTGTCTGTTAGTGCCTTACAAAAGTACAAAAAGCCTCTCCTTTCCAATATTTGGACAGTTTCATTAAAGGACACACAATTCGTCCATGAAATTTATAAATTAGAAGAAATGCTTTACATATTCTCAATGATTTTCAAAAATTACTGGGAGGTATTAACTGGTTATGGTCTAACCTACAATTATCTACTACAGATTGGAGCCTTTTATGTGACATCTTATGTGGAGATCCCTCTCTGGCCTCTCCTTGACAGCTCACTCCAGAAACAAGGGCTACATTAGCAAAGGTTGAAACTGCCATTGTGACTACACAGCTTACTAAGATTAACATACAGAAGGCAATACAGGTGTTAATATTTCCTACTTGTCACACCCCTACAGGGGCCATATGACAGTCTTCAGAAATTATTGAGGGGCTCGATCTTGCTCACTCTCCTCCAAAATCTTTTATTTCATTTCATAATTTTATTGCTCAGCTTATTATTAAGACAGAGGTCAAGTCATACATTTGATGGGAGCTGAGCATTTTTCCACTATGATACCCTTTTCAGTTGAACAACGACATTGATTCTAACTATCATCCTTACATATTTGACAGGTGACTTTTGCTAATTTTCCTGGTCAAGTAAAAAATATTCATCAAGTCATTTCTCAGTGTTTAACTGCTTTTGCAGTGCTGGCTGTCCTCTACAAATTAAAACCAAAACCATGCTAGTTTAACCCTATTTTTTTGAGAAAATATATGTTGGAT